ATTACCAAATCTACGTATTTTCTTGGGACTTGTGTTCAGTGGCCTTTATGCAAGGGTGCTGTTCTTGAGCATTGGATTTGTTTTTTTCTTTCTTAATCTCAAGGCTTGAGCATTTGCAGGATGTTCTTGTCTGCAGCCTTAGTACCTCGAATCTGACTCACCCATGTAACAGATACTTATTGAACATTCACCGTGTACTCAGCAGCACTGTGTTCAACCCTGGTGGGTCAACATATTGGACAGAGACCCACAGAGCTCTGGAACTAGGATACTCAGGTCTCCCAAATTCCCTCTATGTCTCAGAGGCCCTGCAGGAAATGTGCCTGGATACCTGGCATTAATGGAGATAGTCCTGGGCAGAACAGATGGAGCAAGGATTCTGTCCCCCAAAGGGCAAATCCTTTCTAGTTTGTCAAAAGACTGAGATCCAGAGTTTTCATTAGGCCTCATCTGCTCAGATGTATGCACATTTGTCACTCTGTCACAAGAACATCTGAATGAGGCCCATATGACATCTTGATGTCCATATTACCTTTATGGGCAAAGATAGATACCCAAGCTGTGCAGTAATCAAGTAGTTAAAATGTGCTGCCCACTAAATTATATGTATTAACTGATTTAATCTATACCACAATCCTCTGAGTCAATTTTATTAGTATCCTCATTAAGCAGACAAGGCACTAAAGCTCAGAGAGATAAAATTCCAGTAAGAAATAGAAGAACCAGGATTTGAACCTAGGCAATCTGAGTTCAGAATCTTAAGCACTATCATTCACTGCCATATATATATATATATATATATATATATATATATATATATAATTTTTTTTAAGTTGTCAATGGACCTTTCTTTATTTATTTATACATGGTGCTGAGAATCAAAACCTTTTGGGGTTGTACTTCTGAGCTTCTTCCATAAAGTAGTTGATGACGCTCAGGAAAAACCTGTGAGTTTTTGCCTCATGCGTGCTAGGCAAGCCTTCTACCACTGAGCCATTACTCCAGCTCCATTCACTGCCCTTTTTGTTGGATGTTTGGGACCCAGTCAGAGTGGACATCATGGTATGTTTCATCAAATTCTTCAGTGATAATTCCTTGGTGATTTAGGCTACCCAAGGGTGGGAAAGCAAATAGCCAACAGCTACCCAGTTTTTACTGTGTAGCAGTCAGCCAGTTAAATAACTTCTTCTTTTTTTTTTTTTTTTGGCATTATTACACTTAATCCTTACAACAGCCTGGTAACATAGGTACTTAAATGTGTCTATTTTACAGACAAAGAAACTGAGGCTTAGGGAGATTAAAAACTTKCTCAATATATAATAAGAATTGTGATACATTCTGCTATCATGTATTTAAAAAATAAAAGCAATTAAAAAAATAAATAAAAACTTGCTCAAGTTCTTATCACAAGTCAAGGATCTAGAATCCAAATGTAGGTCATGGATTCCAGAGCCTAATGTGTGGTGAAGACTGATTCTGGGACTGCCCCCAGAATTCTGCACAAAGCCCCTTAGAGTGGGACCTGTGTTCCCTGCCAGGCCCTGGAAATCTAATAATGTCTGGATTGGCAGCTGCCTCAGCCCTGTCCTCTCAGGGCAGGCATACATGGAAGAGTCTTCCCTTCACTCTCTCCTTAGATGGTCTTATCCAGATTTGAGCCTGAGAAATTGGACTTCATTATCAGCAGGAACAAAATTGCCCTCATCTTTTTTTTAAAAAAATTTCTGTAGTTGTAGATGGACATCATGCCTTTATTTTATTTGTTTATTTTTTTATGCAGTGCTAAGGATCAAACCCTGTGCCTCACATATGCTAGGCAAGCACTCTGCCACTGAGCTACAGCCCCCACCCAGCCTCATCTTTTATCTCACCGTGGACGCTGTTTTTGGCTCTTTCTTTGTTAAATTTGAACATTGGATTAATTCACCTCTCCCCTGAGGGGATTAGTGTAACACCGAGAAAGCTCCAGGTGTCCCCAGTCCAGGGTAATGAGCATTCCATGATCCAAACCTTTCTTGGTCTCAGGTGAGAGAGGGGGCTCAGGGTGTGCCATGCAGTGGGACCCAGCCAATGGATAGCTCGCCAACATCCACCTGGTGTTTCCGTTCCTTTGCCTTTGAAGGTAACTTCTCTCACTTGTTTCTTTCTGAAGATGTCACCACCATCAGGACAAGTGTAACCTTTAAGTTAAATGAAGGCAAGTGTAGTTTGAAAAAGGCTGAGCTGTTTCCCGAGGGTCTGCGACCAGCACTACCAGGTATGGAACCAGATGGCTGGTGTGTTGGGAAAGGGGCCTGTGATGCCTGAGCCGGAGGTCTGAGGGGCAGACAGCTGTCCAGCTGACTCAAGCGCACTTCAGATGGGATTGAACTTCAGCATCTCCAGGGACTTTTGTCACCAGAGGGAACAGAGCCTAGCTTAGCACCCCTATACCCTTTTGGGATTGTACTTCTGAGCTTCCTCCATAAAGTAGTTGATGAAGCTCAGGAAAAACCTGTGAGTTCAAAGGAGTCAATGAGGGCTTAAGATGAATTAGCAATGTGTGTTTGCATTGGGTTAAATTTTCTGGATCTCCGAGTTTGCTTGAAGAGTAAGCCAAAGAAATTTGAAAAAAAAAAAAAAGGGTTGGCTCAGAAATGATAGCTTTGATGAACAAAGATGTAATATCCAGCATTCCTGCTGCTCTGTTTTTTGGAAACTGTGACTCCATTGGTTTCAACAGAACAAATACCATCTAAGTATAATTGGCCTTACTGAAACAAGCCACATCTATCTCTTCTTTCTTCCTCAGCTCACATTTTCTGTATTATCTCAGAGAACACTTTTGGAGATTTAAAAAAAAAATCAGGATTTATGTATTAAGAGGTTTCTTTCCCCAGTCTACCCTCAAAAAAAAAAAAATCACAAACATAAAGCTTACTCTAGTTTCTTTGACTACCTGCTGGTAACTAACCAACATCAATTTTGGTACCTCTATTTTATGGAATATTAGGCAGCTGTTAACTATATGTATTAAAAGAATGTTTAATGGCAGGAAAATGTCCTTGTTATAATGCTAAGATGAAAAAGGGGGACAGAAACATCTATATATCTAATACAATCTAAATTGTATGAAAAAGTGAAGTGGAAGGAAAACAGAAAGATCACTGTGTGAGTAATGGTTATATCTGGGTAGAGGATGACAAGTGATTTTAATTTTTTCTACATTTTTTATATGCTCCTTAGTGAGCATTCACAATTTTTACCAGAAGGAAGCATTATTGAAAAAACATTTGGTCTGGAGTCTACTTACTGGATTATACCAATATGCTAATTTCTTAGTTTTGATAAATATGATGTTAGGGTAAGTAAGATGTTAGCAGGGTAAACTGAGTAGAGGTTATGTGGGAACTCTCAATACTATCTTAGCAACTTTTCTAGGAATCTGAACTTCAAAATAAAAAGCTTTAAAAAAGTAGATATGGGAAAATTGAAAGGAAAAAGTTTCAAGATGAATATCTTTTTAGTTTACAATTTTAAGTTAACTTTATGAAAAGGTAAAACATCTTTTAGTGGAAAATATAGAGAAGAAATAAATTTATCTCTTTCTTTTGGCTCTCAATGAGCTGTTGTTTTGAATATACTTGTAATGTTAAAGAAGAATACAAAGATAATTCTTCAGTTCAATAAAATAGCATTTTAAAATAGAGCCAAATTAATCATGTGGATATGTGGACCTGCTTGCTCTTTGATTCCGGTTAGCAATCATTAATCACCAGATTCACTGGAAGTCGCTGGGATGGGAGACTGTCAAAGTCAGGAACAGAGATATGCAAATCCTGGTGTCATACAAAAATTCCACTGTCATCCTAGATGCCTTCATGATATTGTTTGGTTCTGTTGATTCTTTGTGCCATTTATTTTCCCTGGTTATTTAAACATGAGACATCAAGCTGGGTGTGGTGGCACAYACCTGTGAACTCAGCAACTCAGGAGGCTGGGGCAGGGAGGATGGCAAGTTCCAGGCCAGCCAGAGCAGCAATAAGAAACAAAAAGGGCTGGGATGCAGCTCAGTAGTAGAGCACCCCTCCTTCCCTGCCCTGGGGTTCAATCCCCAGTACCACAAAAAGAAAAAGAAAAACAAAACAGAAAAATAAAAAATGAGACATCACTGTTGATGTGCTTTCCAGCTCTCCCTTCTGGTTAGAATTATGTCAGGGTCAGTTTGCCTGAAAGCAGAAGTTGGTTTCCCTTCTGCTCCTGCACTAATTCCCTCTGCTGGGGCCCTCACAGTCCAGTTTTAAGGAAACCAACTGTGAAGCCAGGCATGGTGGCACCTACCTGTAATCCCAGCAACTCAGGAGACTGAGGCAAGTTCGAAGCCAGCCTGGGCAATTTAGCAAGGCCCTAAGCAATTTAGCAAGACCCTGTGTCAAAAAGTAAAATGGACTGGGGATGTGGCTCCATGGTTAAGCATCTCTGGTTYCATCCCCAGTCCCAAAAACCAAAAACAACMACCACAAAAAACAACTGTGAGAATGTGGGCACATCTCAGCAAACTATCAGCAGGGTTTTGATATGAAACGACCCCTGGTTCTCCTCTTCCACACATGTGGCTGGCTAGTTGGACACACCCAGCATTTGTCCATGAAAAGAATTTTCAAGAGCTAGATTGTAAAGTTATATAGGAGGCGATACTGGCTCTTCAAGATGAAAATGTCATCATGCTCCAAGCTGGGGGCTTTCAGCGTCTCGCCATGTGGAGTTAATCACGTAGTCCCTGGAGAGTTGTTTTAATGAAATGTTTACTGAGCTTTAGCGAATGTTCAACTGAGTGCTTTGCCAGGACTTGGCTCCCGATAATTTTGTTTCTTCATACAGAGAAGCACAGCTCAGTAAAAGAGAGCTTTCGCTACGCAAACCTTACATGCAGCCCTGGCAAGCAAGTCCCAGGACCCCCTGGCCGATCAAGCACCCCTAAGGAAATGTTTATCACTGTTGAGTTTGAGCGTGAAACTTACCAAAAGGAGGTGACAGGTTGGTCTGAAAGCCRTCTGTGGTGCCAGGCTTCTTACAGCTTGCTCCTTCTTACTTTACCTTTTACCTTTCATCATTCCTGGGGGGGAAAATAGTGCAAACACTGAAGTATCTCCTGTTTTATTTTCACCCCCAAACTACACAAATTGGTTTAGAACCTGATGATTTTCTCTGCTTCAAAAAGACCCAAAGCYATCATTTTGGTCAATAAATTTCTGTTTGAATTGAATGCTGCCCAGCCTGCTAGGTGCCCACCTCCAGGTCTCGCCCTTTCTGGTCCACAGGGAACTCGGGGTGTTGGTGGGCCCTGCAGTCGGTCTGGACATCCTCACACACTGCAGCCTGACTTCCCCCCATGTTGCTGTCCTTGTTTCTGCAGCTTCTTGTGATCTGAGCTGTATTGTGAAGCGAACAGAGAAGCGGCTGCGGAAGGCCATCCGCACGCTCAGGAAGGCTGCCCACAGGGAGCAGTTTCACCTTCAGCTCTCAGGCATGGACCTTGATGTGACTAAAAAGTCTCCCAGAACATCCGAACAGCAGGCAGAGTCCTGTGGAGTGGGCCAGGGCCATGTAGAAAACCAGTGCGGTGAGTAGCCCAGGACATGCTTGCCTACAGAACTGCAATGAGCTCTGTAAACACTAAAGGTAACCAGTGGGGAGTCTGGGCCATCCTTCCTTCTCTGGGTTCATAGAACACTCTGGAAACCCTTTCTCATCTGGTACCTGTCATGCTGGTGCTGTCCTGCCTACGAGACCTGGGGCTCCCTGGGGGCTGAGTGAGTGTTGCTCACCTCTTTCCCTGGCACCTGGCACCATGCTTGGCTTGTGGTGGGGACTGAAGTCACTGTTGAACTGAGGGACAAAAAGAAAGAGTCAGGATTTATAGGAAGGATGCTGCCCTTTAAATCCCCAAGGGATCTTCTTTGTACTTTTTATTTTTTAGAGCCCTGTTCCCTGGCTGGGGCAGGACTGGGGTGTGAGGCACCCCAGAGCCTTTTTCATACTCCATTCTGTCATCACTTCCTGAAGGCACTTCTCTCTGGCTTGATTGCTGATAGCARGGATCAAACTCCTGTCCATAGTCTTGTACAGAGGCAAAGCTAGGGCCACCCTGCTGCCTTGTGAGAGTCCTGAACTTCTGCACAAGGCTCCTAGGAGCGTCAGTTCTGTGGTATGTTGTTGCTCTGTGTATATGTTTGAGGATTAACTTTGACAAACTTTCAGTTCTTCTGATAAATCTAGCAAAAGGTTCCAGGGTGATCRGTTTTAAAATGTTTTTGTTGTCAGAGACTGTTCCAGGCCAGTCTCCAGGGGAGACTCTACTTGAAAAGTCTTAAATAGGGAAAAATGGAGTCTCACTTTATTATGGCAATTTATTGAGTTCTATTAGCAAGCACAACACTGAGCCCTGTGTCTGCATTATCTCATTTAATCCTCATAGTAACCCTGCCAGGTTTAATAGGTGAACAGCCTGAAGCTCTTCTCTTGCTGAAGATCTCATTGATGGTCTAATTCTAAAGTCTGTGCTCTGGTTCCAAATAAGGTGGAGTTCAATAGCCAGCCCCCTCAAAGTAAATAGATATTCTTTCTGAAATTGTCAATAGGGGCTGGGGTTGTGGCTCAGCAGTAGAGCGCTTGCTTTGCACGGGCAAGGCCCTGGGTTCGATCCTCAGCACCACATAAAAATAAATAAAAAGATATTGTGCCCAACTACAACTAAATATATATATTTATTTTAAAAAGTGTCAGTAGAATCATGAGGCTTGAGAACTGCAGCTTAGGTAAGATGTAATAAGTTAGGGTTTGTGAATAAGCAAAGCTGAGCCCAGCCAAACTGTCAGCAACAGCACCACAGCTCCAATCTGTTCCTTTGCCAAAACTTGGTGAAAATCAAGTGTAACTGTTCACAAGGGGCTGGTTCCCAGAGACCTCTGACTTTTACTCCAGCTGATTCTTTTAAGAAGAAAGAAGAAAAAGAAAGTAAATATAACCCATCTAGTTGATTTATTCTAATTTTAAATCCCAAGAGCTCCAGTTTCCATGCCAAAATAGTGGTGAAGGTTGGCTTTGCCKCCCTACTTTTTAGGGTGAGTGAAGAAACTTGGGGTGGGCAAGCTGGGCTTCTTCTTGACCTCTCAGAACTAAACTGCACCCCTCTCCCCAYTAACTCTCCTGTTGGGGTAAGCCTGTGGGCTCACCAGGGAGCCTTCATGGTCTGTTAAGAATGTAGGAAAACTATTATAAAGGGCAGGTGGACCAACTCTCCAGGGAGACCATTACTAATACTATCATGGGTATGGTATGCTTCTGGGAACTAAACCAAGGATAGGGGCAGAGTTAACAGAGGCTTCATGATCATGACAGCCTGTGAAGGATACTGTAGAGGGTTTTTTGTCTCTCTTGTGGTGTGTGAAGGTGCCCCTGAGATGCCAAGCTAAATTTGGTTGTCATGCTAAATTTGGTTGTCACGCTAAATTTGGTTGGATTTGTTCCTAAGAAAGACAGTGTGGCTTATCTTAAGCTCCCTCTAAAATTGGATGAATTTTGTAGCCTACATGAGATCAAATCTTTGCCACCTTGTCAGAAAGCAATGTTGAAGATTCCATCGGCCCTACTTTCCCACTCTTGCATAAGGAATTACTGACATTCCTTCTCTTCTTCTGTCTGCTAGAGGAAGAAATAGATACAAAGAAAGGTTGAATGTGTTACAGCAGGTACATGGCATTGTGTGTGTGTGTGTGTGTGTGTGTGTGTGTGTGTGTTCGTGTTCTGATCTCTTTCCTGAGCCTTGGCCTTCTGTGTAGCTGGCACTACTCCTTCTCTCTTATAAATTCAACAGTTCCATCAGAGGGCTCCAACATATCTAACGCTGGTCACTTCCCAAAGATCTCACCTTTAAATGTTTCAGTTGGTTTAACTTTGCACTCTCTTAGTATGTCACAATGGAGATTAAATGTCAACATACGAACCCTTGGACAACATGTTCAAATGATGTTAAAGCCTCCCCAAAAGTGTTTTGAATGACCTGGAAGGAGAAATGGAATTATTGTTTTTCTGTTAAGATATTTCAATTTAGTTTATTTATTTATTTTTATTTAATTTTATTTAGTTTTTGATGGACCTTTATTTTTTACTTATTTATATGCGGTGCTGAGAATCAAACCTGGTGCCTCACACATGCTAAGCAAGCGCTCTACCACTGARCCACACCCCAAGCCTCTTAATTTAGTTTTAATTTTAAAAGTGCTACATGTTCCAAGTGGTACAGAAATACATATAGTAAAGATGAAAGTTTTCCCCACAGCTGCCCATCCCACTTCCCAGCATTGATCAGTGTTATAATTTGCTATGTGTTTTTTTCTCATTTGTTTTTATGTACATATGAAAATGAAATTTTATGCAGTCCCCCAATAAATATTTACTAAGCTCTTCCTGTGTGGGTCAGGTACCACTTTAGGTGCCAGAATCCAGCAATGAAAAATATAAGTAAAAATCTCAGCCCTCATGAAGTTTACAGTTCTGGAGGGGGAGACAGGCAGCCAACCCATGAACATAGACAGACAGCATGCAGCAGATGGTGACAAGGGTGCAGAGAGCAGGCTGGCTGGGGAGTGCAATAGAAGGTACTCAGGCAAAGTGAGGGCTGAAAAGGAACACATTTTCCCCAAATGCTGACTGTGGTCAGTGAAGGCCTCATTGCAAAGTGTCATTTGAGCAGAAATGCAAAGGATAGGATGAAGCAAGCTATSGGGACATGGAGAAGAGGAGAGTTCTGGGCAAAGAGAACAGCGAGTGAAGCACTCAGAGGAACTGGAGGGAAGCCCAGGGAGATGAGAGCAGAGGGAGGGAGGCAGAGCCATGATGTCAGAGCAGGAGCAGAGGCCTGGAGCTTGGCAGGGGCAGGGGCGGGGGGGGGGGGGGAACCAGAAATGGGTGAGGACTCCAACTCTGAATCTGAGGGAGGAAGGAAGCCAGTCAGAGGCTTTGTGTAGAGCAGTAACAGCGTTTTGACTTACATTTGGAAATAATAACTTTGGCTGCTGTGTAGAAAATGGGTTTATGTGTGAATAAACATATTTTAAAATATACCARTACAATTTGAATACTGCTACATGTTGTTTTTAACTATAGAATACATCACAGGCATCTTTCTGTGCCAGCATGGAAGCTACATCATTTCTTTTAATGGTTTCTAGTTTAAATCTGTCTTAAGACAACAGTATTTGTTAGCTTTGCTCCTATTGGTGGACACTAAACTTATTCCTTTTTTTTTTTTTTTTTTACACAACAGTGCTTCTGTGAATTCCCTTTTTTGTACACATGTTGACATTCCTGAAGGACACACTTGCAGAAGTACAATTGCCAGGTCAAAGAACATGCATATTTGGGGCTGAGGTTGTAGCTCAGTGGTAGAGCACTTGCCTATCTTGTGTGAGGCACTGGGTTTGATATGCAGCACCACATGAAAATAGATAAATAAAATAAAGGTATAAAAATTCCCCTATTAAAAAATAATATGCATATTTAAAATAATAATAGATAATAACAATTATCTATTAATAATAATAGATAACTGCCAAATTACCCTCCAAAAAAAATACCAATGTGCAGTTCCCTCCAGTATTGTGTCTGAATGTGTATAAAAATAATAAAGTCATTTAAATTTGTTTTTCCTTGATTATTAGTAAGACTGAGCCTGCTGTCTTAGGTCTACTCATTTGTATTTCTTTTTCTCAGAACATCCATAGTCTTTGTTTATTTTTTCCATTGACTTATTTGTCTTTCCAATATCCTTTTAAAAAATAAAATTTTAAAGTCCCAAGTTACATCAAAGGAAATAGAATCTGACTTTCTTATTGTCATTTGAACATATTGTCATTTGTCTTTTATTAATTTGGTATTTGGGGACTTTGGAAGCAGCCCACTCTGCAAGTGACTTTTGTACCATCTGTGATCCATTTTAGTAAGATGGTGAAAAAGAAAAGAAAAGCAATTATATTCTACAAGGAACAAATTTCTTAAGCTCCATACAGGACTATATGAAGTTCTTCATGCCTAAAGAAAAATTAACAGTGACCCAGATTTCGAGCATTATACTCTCATGACATCAGCTAAAGGAAAAACTTTTTAAGAAATAGACTTGATAATAGGCCTATTTTTGTATTTGACTTCTTAAAACTTGCTGAGATTTTTAAGAGTATACAGGCAACTAGTGAACTGGGAAGTATTTTAGTGCCTGGGTTCTTGAGAGAATAGGAAAGTTCAATTCAGTTTTTACTAGCAGTAACTTTCCTCTGCAGCAATTGAGAAAAGTTAATTCAGCCAGGACTTATTGAGGCTCCACTCCTTTCGCTCGATGTGCTTGAGATGAAGCTGTGAGAACGTAACCAGCAAGAGGCCAGTTTGAATGAAGTTCACATGCCAACYGAGGGATATGGAAATTAAAAAGTAAAGAAAGGAGATAATTCCAGAAGTTTATGTGCTGTGAAGATAATAAAACTGAGAGGTTTGGAGGGATGGAAGGGATGCTGTCCATGGGGATGTGTGAGGAGATGGCATGCAAAGCTCTGAAAGGGATGGGGAGCTCCTTAGGTTAGGGAAGGACTAGTAGATGCAAAGGGCCTGAGGCAGGAATGAGCTGGGAATTTTATTCTTAGATTTTTCAAAATTGAGAAGTCATTTGGAATCACACAGATAGAATTTTTTTTGTTTAAATTAAGGAAAAGAAAATCTATTTTAGCAATATAGACCAATAATAGACCATAAATATTTAATAATATTTATCACAGACTTAGTAGGAATTTTTTAAATTAGATTTTTAAAACATAATTTAGTAAAATGTTGAGCACTTATAATGTGCTCAGTACTGTGCTAAGTACTTTACATATATTACCTCATGAAGGATAACATTTTACCCAACATCACCCAGCAAATAAGTGACAAAGGTAGGATTCTAACTCAGATCTGGCTCAAGAGCCTATATTCCTAACTCTCTCAAATTGAATACTCACCTCTCCTGAGTATACCCTGTGCCCTAAGATTATCCCTCATACAATGTGCTCAGATGAAACCCTCCATGGGCCAGCTCTGTGGTGGGAGCTAAGGAGACCTGGATAAATATGACACCATCCCTCAAGTTTCACTTAGCACCCCCAGCTAAGGATTAAAGAAACCTTCCCCCAAAAGAGAGAGCCTAAGTTCAGTTTTGAAGGATGCACTGGTTATGTGTAAATAGGGAGGCATTTTCAGGCAAAGGCACAGCCTTAGGAAATGAGGGAGGGTAAGCTGAGCACAAAGAAGAATAGACACATTGATATTACTACCCGCAAGTGCCAGGTAGGATGTGGTGGGCAACTAGGCCAGGCCGAAGTCATGGCCAAGTCATGGGAGACCTTGGATGTGTTGGTAAGGAGCCTCCGCTTTGTTTAGGTGATGTGATGCCCTTGGAGGATTTATTTAATCAGGAAATGTCCAGGTCATTTGTGTATTCCTGGAAGATCTTCTTGCTATATTGTAGGGGACAAAACTTACAGGCTTAAGGACCAATTTGGGGACTTTGGAAGGCACGACATTAAAGATATTGAGATCAAGAAGKTATAGAGAAAAGGCAGTGAGTTAAAGGAACATTCAGGAGGAAAGCTGCCTTTGGTGATCACATGGATCAGGGGCAGCAGAGAGGAGAGTGTGGGTGAGTTCAGAGGTTTCTGACTTGGMCTCTGATCCTGCCACTCGCATCCCATATGTCTCTCATCCCACCCAGCCCTGTTTCATATGCAGGAGGCCTGGTTGGTTGAATGGTCAGATGAATGAGATCACTGGGGAAGAAATAATCAGAAGAGATTTATGGGAGAAGCAGAGAAAAACAGCCTCTCGAGAGAGCATAAGAAAGGATGAAAGCTCAGACACAGAAAAGGAAGCTAAAGACTGAACATGAGTCAAAGAAACAGAAATGCAAGGAGTCAAGACTGCGAGGTTTTGAGCCAGGGAGTAAAGCCATCCAGGAAACATCTTGGGAAGAGAATCTAATGGCGGGTGTAAAGGGCAGAGGCAGGAGGAACAGAAAGCAAGGAACTAGGTGGAAGGTCATCACAGTAGTCCAAGTGAGAGATGGGGAGGAGCTAGCCATGAGTGCCTGGGAATGAGGCACCAGGGGCTGGGGGCCACAAATGCAGGATGCTCCAGCTCAGTGATGGCGCAGTGAGGAGAGAAGGCAGGACTAGGTGTAGGTCTGAGCCTTTGTGACACGTAGAGGAGAGATGCCATTGATAAAAAGAGAAAACCCGGCAGGGCTCAGTGGCACAAAACTGTTACCCCAGCAGCTCGGGAGGCTGAGGCAGGAGGATAGAAGTTCAAAGTCAGCCTCAGCAACTTAGCGAGACTCTGTCTCAAAATAAAAAAATAAAAGGGACTGGGAATGTTCCTCAGTGGTCAATCACAGGTACCANACCAAAGAGAGAGAGAGAGAGAGAGAGAGAGAGAGAGAGAGAGAGAGAGAGAGAGAGAGAGAGAGAAAGGAAGGGGGGAGGGAGAGAGGACAAACCCAGAGGCAGGGAAAAGTAGAGATGCTTTGTCCATGGGAAAATAACTTCATCGCTTCACGTCCAGATCAGCCCTCCATCCTGCATCTGTGCACAAGCACTCCAGTGTCCCTCCTGTTAAAGTGAGTGGTTGGCCCATGCTCCCACCTAAGGCCATCTCTTCCACTTGGGTACTGGAGCCCAATCCCTCTCAACTTCAGAAGCATGTTGCTGCCTTGTCCTCACTGCCCAGTCTCAGAGTTCTCCTTCTCTACTGGGTCACTTCCAATAGCACATAGACTGAAATCCTATCCCCAAATCAAACTGTCTGTTGACCTTATGCTTATCACCAGACCCAACCTCATTTCTTTGTCTTCCTATAGAACAACAACAAAAAAAAAAATTCTTTTTTTTTTTTTTTTTTAAGTATCAGGGACTGAACCCAGGGGCACTCAACCACTGAGCCACATCCCCAGCCCTATTTTTTAATTTTTGTATTTTATTTAGAGACAGGGTCTCCCTGAGTTGCTTAGGGTCTTGCTAAAATTTCCGAGGCTGACTTTGATCAGCCTGGAGATCCTCCTGCCTCAGCTTCCTGAGCCATCAGGATTACAGGTGTGTACCACCATGACCAGCCAGAACAAAACTCTTTGAAAAGAGTTGTGCAACACTCCTTTACCTCCCACTTTTTCCTCAGTCTGGTTTTCATTGCAACCTTTACACTGAAACTGCTTTTTCTAAGATTTCTAATGACTACCATGTTGCTAAATCTGCTTGCTAATTCCCTGCTCCCATTGCAGACAGGCTGTCTGACCCTCTTGATTCCTCCCTTTGCCTGGAATCTCTTTTCTGTGTGGACACCACATACTTCTGGTTTTCCTTACCTCACTGGCTGCTTCCTTTCCATGTTGGTTGCTGGTTCCTCTCCTATTTCTGTTCTCTAAGCACCAGGTGTCCCAGGGCTCAGCGCCTGTTCCCCTCCTCTAGCTTCATGTTCTCCTAGCTGACCTCATCCAGTGCTGCAGCTTTAAATATCACCAAATGCTGGTGACTCCCAAAGTGCCCTCACCAGGCTTATTTCTATTTTTAATTATAGACTTCTCTATCCCAGAAGGATTGAACATTTTAGAACACACACTCTTAAATGAATGTTTACTTATTTATAAATTATACTTGCACTATTGGCTAATATATTTACTTACAATAAAATATAGAACAAGACAAAGATTAGACACAATTGAAAAATAACTGGCTAGCTTCTTAAGGTACACTCTATGATTTGGCAAGATTTGTTGCTAATTGTAGCATTCCTAAATCCATTTTTTTGTTCATTGCTAGTGCTTTGGGTGAACTCTTTTTTTAAAAATATTTTTTTATTTTTTAGTTGTGGTTGGACACAATACATTTATTTGTTTATTTATTTATTTGGCTATCTATCTATTTATTTATTTAATGTGGTGCTGAGGATCGAACCCAGGGCCTTGCATGTTCTAGGTGAGTGCTGTACCACTGAGCCACAATCCAAGCCCTTAGGTGAACTCTTGTTTTATCTACTGAATTGTTACTGTCTGTGTCTCATGATATGGTTTGAGCAGGTGCTGAGGGTATAAGTGTCACCTAGCACTTTCCTGTTGCCACGCATGCTTGCATGGTGGATATACCTTTGGTGCAGGTGATCCTTACAGAAATCTCTGGAGCTGCTTTTTATTATTTTGTGATGTTTACTTTAGTTGAAACTAGATAATGTAATCAATAAATCCAACCAGGCACAGTTACATTGTAATTCTTCTCAGTATATAGAAAGAAGTGAATCCCTCAGTATCTTTGCCCCCTGCTCATCTCTCTTGGAGACTTTTCATCTTAACATGTGTCCTGTCCCAGGGAGACACCAGCTGAGCGAGGGGTCAGTCKCATACCACAAACTTACCCAGTACGTGGAGTGCTTCTTATCTATTAAGTAAAAATTAACATGATTTGCTCTGAGGCCATTTTGCCCATTCTAGTGGATCATCTTGTAAAGCCCTGGGTGTAGTGGCCACCTCAGAGACCACTAGCTGGCCAGTGCCTTCTCAGTCTTAACACTCGGATGGCCAACAGGCATCTCTATCTTGACGTTTCCTCTTTCCTCCTTCCCAAATCAAACCTGTCTCTTCCTCCCTTCAGTAAATGACACCTCTGTTTATCCAGTTCTGAAACCAAAAACCTCAACATCTTCCTGACTTCTCTCCTCACCCAGTCCACTGGAACTTCTGTCAGCTTCAGATGCTATCCTGAATCTAGCTGTTTTGTCCTGTTTTTTTTTTTTTTTTTTTTTTTCACTCTGTGGCAAATCACCTTCTTTCTTCCAGTCTTGTCATCATAGTCTCTGAATATTCTTCCCTTTGTTTGCCCTCAGTCTTTTCTATATGCAGCAGCCATAAGATGACTGAAAAACATAAATCAAGCTGGGTGTGATGGTGCACATCTGTAATCCCAGTGACTTAGGAGGCTGAGGCAGGAGGATCTCAAGTTCAAGGCCAGTCTCAGCAACTTAGTGAGACACTGACTCAAAATAAAAAATGAAAAGTGCTGGGAATGTAGCTTACTGGTAATGTGCCCCTGCATTCAATGGAAGGAGAAGGAGAAGGAGAAGGAGGAGAAGAAGGAAAAAGAAGAAGAGGAGAAGAGGAAGAGGAGGAGAAAGAGGAGGAAGAGGAAGAAGAAGAAGACATAAATCACATTGACCGAATGGCTTCCCCATTCAGAACCTCCAGCACACATTGAGTAAGCCCTAATTGCCTTATTGTGGCCTTCAAGAACTTCAAGGGAATGATCTGGCCCTTACTTGGGTTTTTTTTTTTTTTTTTTTTAGAGAGAGTGAGAGAGGAGAGAAAGAGAGAGAGAGAGAGAGAGAGATAATTTTTAATATTTATTTTTTAGTTCTCGGCAGACACAACATCTTTGTTGGTATGTGGTGCTGAGGATCGAACCCGGGCCGCACGCATGCCAGGCGAGCGCGCTACCGCTTGAGCCACATCCCCAGCCCGTTACTTGGGTTTTAAGACCTATCTATCTCCCATTACCTTGCTCCTTTCATGGTGTTCCTATGCCACAGGCCTCCACTCTTGGGTAATCCCACTGCAAGGCTGTTTCCCTCATTCCATTCTGGTCTCTGCCCAGAAAGGCCCGTCATGGCCACCCTTCTGAATGATGCACATGGAAACTCCCTTCCCATCACTCTCTCTACAATTTTTCCTTTCTTCGTCACACCACTGCTTGGCATTCTACTGTATGTTCATTTATTTGCCTCTTTATTGTCTATTTTCTTCACAAGAATGAGGTCCCCGTTAAGGCAGGGTCTGTCATCTTCTCTGCTATATCTCCAGCTCCTGGAGCGGTACCCAGCACATTGAGTATTTATTGAATGAATGTGTGAATGAATCTTTACAGGAACAACAGATGAAATCCCAAGGAGACTTAACCTCATGAAAAGAGAGAAAAGTGTAAATCTTTGGATAAATATTTAAATCGAGGACACTCTAAAGGAAGTGAAATTTCAGGTCCAGTTAACTAGGCCTGAAGAGAGCCTGGTGCATACTTGGGAACCCAGCAAGGAAGGCGTCAAGCTGGGCTCATTTCTCTGCCCCATCTGTAAGAAGATTTTCAGATGGCAAACCTGAGTACTCGCCAAGACTCTGAATAATGAGAAATCAGACTCTCAGCCCAAGGAGTTGCTGTCCCTGTTATCCCAGGGCACTCATTTAAAGGGGGCTCAAGCCAGGATCCTGAGGCCACAGATCTGCCTGGGGCACCATCACCTCTGAGCTGGGACAAAGCAGCAGCCCCAGGACACCCTGGGAATCCGTGTGGGCTGCTTGTGGCTCTCCTTCAGAAGTCAAAGCGTGATTCTTAAGAAAACAGTGAGATGCTGGAGAGTGACCTCTTTTATTAGGTTCACCATCTTAGCCACAGAGAGACCATAGTGTTTGTCCATAGCCTGAAATACTCAAAGGCCACAGTACTGAAAAGAGGGCAGGCCTTTAGGTCTCTTTGTCGCCATTAATCCTCATCCCGCTGGTCTCTGTCTTTTGCATCAGAAAAGCTTTCTCGTATTTTTTTTTTTTAAAGAGGGGGAGAAAACAGCTGTGTAGGATTTGAGAATGGGATTTTAATGGTCACTGAAGATGCACAAAAGCTCTGCTGTGATAGTGAAGTGTTCTGGAGGCAATTGACGCCTTTGTCTGGGGCAGCAACACAAGCTGGCTGCTGAGGACAAGGAAGAAGCACCTGGGTCGAGTGATTGAGGCCAGATCTCCAGCACATTTGCAAAAAGCTGTTTCCAGGCATCCCTTCCCAACAATCAGTCAAGTTTTAGCGTTTAACCATTTTTACCTTGTGAAAGAAACAAATCTATCTGGAAGCGCTTGGCTTGAATTATTTCCATGGATCTTTCTCTCTGGAGGGAAAATGGAAATTGTGACTGACAACAGGGGGTTGTTCACGTGAAGCAGGCCTTTCACTGTGAGGAAAAAGAAGGTGCCCTCTTTTCCATAGGGTACCCCCGAGGGCATTTCTCTGCCCTTTGATCAGTTAAGAAATCGCAACAGATGTGGAATATTGTGAGACCTCTCAAAATGAAGCCTTGAAAAGTCTTTGGGGAGGGGGCTACCAAGTCCCAAGGAGGTAGACAGTGACTCAGTTAGTGAGAACTATGTCCCGGTTTAACCACAGGTGAAAGGGATCTGTTTTCTGCCACAGGAACCATGATGGAGCAGACTGCTGCTGGGGTTGTGGTCACCACAGGGGTCCATATGGGCTTCCCTAAATGAATATGGCTAGGTTAGAGGGGTTCTGGAAACCTGTTTTATTTATTTTCTGCCAGTCTTTGTGACACTTTGGCTCATGAGAGCTGTGAAGAAGTTATTCTTTCCTTTACTGGCCCACTATAGACGCTAGGATAGTCAGGTGGGACATAGTATGACATGTTGTGAATCCCTAGTACATAATTCAACCTGATTTTTCATGGGACTTGGCTGAAACAATTATCCAGTAGGGCATTTAGAAAATAACTCAGGAATTATAGACATAGATATGCCTCTGCTCATTATAATATTTTTTTTTGCCAGAAAAAGAAGGGATAGATTCTCTGTTAATTTTTTTTAATTTTTATTGTTGGTTGTTCAAAACATTACATAGTTCTTGATATATCATATTTCACATTTTGATTCAAGTGGGTTATGAACTCCCATTTTTACCCCGTATACAGATTGCAGAATCACATCGGTTACACATCCACTGATTTACATATTGCCATACTAGTGGCTGTTGTATTCTGCTGCCTTTCCTATCCTCTACTATCCCCCCTCCCCTCCCCTCCCCTCTTCTCTCTTTACCCCATCTACTGTAATTCATTTCTCCCCTTAATAAAAAAAAAAAGTGGTGTGCATGGTGGTGCATGCTTGTAATCCTAGCTGCTCAGGAAGCTGGAGCAGGAGGATTGCAAGTGTGAGACTAGCATCAGCAACTTGGTGAAATCCTGTCTCAACATGAAAAATAAAAAGGATTGGGGAGGTACTAAGTGGTTAGAGTACTTGCCCTGCATATGCAAGGTCCTGGCTTCAATCCCCAGTACTGAAAAAAATCATAAAATCATATAAAAATGATATATAAATATTATAAAAGAAAATCTAAGCAATACAAAAAAGCATTGAACTTTAATAGTAGGGTGGACTTTGTTGGTGGATTGCATTTAATTGTAGAAAAATTAGTTGAAATATGGTATATTTTGCTAACTAAGATCCAAAGCCTTTTTTTTTTTTAAAGATTTTGGAATGAGTAATGAAAACATTTTTATGACTGATTATAGACAACTTTGCCATGTTTAACCCTAACATTGCATGTGTAAATCACTCTTGTAGGATAGGATGARAAGAGATTTTCCTTCTTATAGATATACAAGAGATATAATAACTAACTTTATTATGTGATTCCCCCCATCGCCACCATTTCTTAGCAGCT